CTATTTTCCCAGTGTCTGAATGGATGCTGTCAAGTACTCACTCAGAAAATGTGTTTGCTAAATGAGCAAGTGAATAAATCTGAATTTACTGCATTGTGGCCAACTAAATTGCTTTAGAAGCAATCTTAAGTACAGGTAATCCAAGGACTCTGCTGTGCTGGACCCAAAACATTGAGACCCTCGAAGGGACCAGTAGCTTCATGAGTCACGTAACCACAAGTACCTCTAGCATTTTCACTTTTTTTGCTTCTCCAAGGTTTTAAAGAATTAAAACTAACAGACCAAGAGCCTAAGTTCCCTCTTCTGTTCCATGCGAGGATGGAAGTAGACTTGATAATCTATGTCTACCTGCGTACATTTGAGTCACTCTCCAGTCACTGAGACAAAACAACTAACACCCACAACTTAAGGGACAGGACTGTGTGGCTCATGGTTTCAGTGGGTTCAGTCCACAGTCAGCTGGCTCTGAGGCAGAAAAGGAGTCGCATAAGGGCCTGGTGGAGGAGAGCTGCTCAACCTATGGTGTACAGGAAGCGGAGAAGGGAGGAGCCAGGGATAGGAATCCACCCTCCCAGGTCACTCCCCAGTGACCCACATCCTTCAGCCAGGCCCCAGCTCCTAACAGACTCAGCTCTGAATTCAAACACGGATGGATCCACTCATGAGTATAAGCACCCCATGATCCAATTACCTTCCAGAAGCACGCCTCTGAACACGCGAGACTTTTGGGGGACATTTTAGACAGTACCCTTTTAACCGTACCTGTTGCTCCGGGTAGCCTCACTCGCAACACTGAAAATAAGTGTTAAAATCAAAACCCTTTTCTTCTGTAAAAATGTCACAATCTCTAGTAAGTGTTGATGTAACTGAAGAAATCCGTAGCTCCAAGGTTTCTCTTTTCACTGCCCTCTCTTCCTCTCCTCTCCTCTATAAAGATAAGCAGGTTATGTTTGCTTATTTCGAATTCCACCGTGACATTTTCTCAAGGAAAAAAAAAAAATCCTTGGACTGTAGGCCAGTCAACAAAACTGAGCTAGAAGTTCACTTCACCTTCCTGAGGGCGAATTTCTATCAGTCAGAAGACAGTTCCTCCCCTCTTACCTTCCACATTGAGGTGCTGTGCTGGCCAAAGGAGATGCAGTGGTGAATAGTGAGAGCTCCTGCTCTCGGTTTGGTGAAAGATGCAGATATAGTACATGGGAAATTCCAGCAGTAGATGCAATGCAATGATAGGAAAAATGCAAGGGTGGAGGAAAGTATCCTGGAAGCATCCAACACAGGCATGGAGGACCTGAAGATTTTTTCAGCAAGTGACATTTAAGCTGAGACATGAAGAGTACGTGAGCCAGGGTGGGGGGAGGCATGGGCAAAGGCAAAGGAACAGCTGCTGCCTCTCCTCTCTCTGGAATAGCCTCTCAGGACTCCAAGCTATTGCCCCTGCTCCACCTGCCTGCTGAGCCTCCGAGATTTCAGAGTGCAATCTTTAGCGGGGTTTTCTTTTTCAACCTGTAAGGAGTCCTAAGGCTTCAAGAACTTCAAGAATGCTTTTGCGGATACTTAAAGCAAATGGAAACTACTGAGAGTTTCAGTTTGAAGGCACGTGTCTTCATTTTATTTATTTCAATGCTTGGGCTTAAAATAAAATTTCAAATGTCACGTTCCATTCCTCCTCCAATAGTGTGGTCTAGTCTCCAACAATTATTTTTTAGATTCTTCCACACACCACGGTACAACAAATTTTTGAAGGATTTCACATAACAACTGTGTATCCTAATTTCAAGGCTGTGTGATAGAAATTTAAATGTACTTATTCCTTCTGGAAAAACCTAATGAAACTCCAGAGGACTTTTGTAAATAATCTAAAAACCTAAAAAATGTTAGGAAAATGTAAAATGACTCCTGCTGCCTCTAACAGCAATCTGCTTTGTTTAGTTCAAAATTAACAGACACTGGAGGCACTGACCATGAAGTGGGACACCTGGCCTCATCCCTAACCTTGAGGACCCCCTTCCTGTGCACTAGCACAGATAGCTAGACAAATCTTGAGGTCAACTCCCTAACTACAAGGAATTGTTATGTCTGGGTTAAAGCCAACTGGCTACTGTAACTTGTACATGGGTAATGTGAACTGAGGTAATAAAATGTAACCACCGGAGTGAGATCATGGCTGTAAAACCCATAAAAGGGGGCTGTAACCCAAGGGGAGGCCAATGACTGGCACTTCCTTTCTGAATGCGGTCGACCCTTTTCTGACAAATGTTTTATTTTACTTCCATTCAGCTCACGTCTCGTGTGCGCGTCACTTGCCAGTTCCCTCCACAACAAAACCTGCTGATTCAGAGGACTGTCAATTCTAAATGAATCGAAAACACAGGTTCTGGGGCTCTAAACCTACCTGCATTACCTTTCACCAACAATTATTTCCACTGCACTATCAGAAAAGTTGTTTTAATTCTAATGGATATACTTTGTGCTAGATTTAGCTTATTTTTTCTCACTCCTCTATCCACTGAATATTTATGGAGCACCTTTATTGGACAGTCCTGAAGACTTAAGACAATAACTCAGTGTTCCAAAAATGATGCTTTAAACACGAGTGTTTTATATTGCTATATTGAACTAAAAACTTAAGGATACTCTAGCCTCTAAATCTTCACACTGACAATATTTAATAAAATATTGAAAATTAATTGAAAACCAAAAAATTAGATTTTTCTAAGAAATAATGAAAAAGCAGATGACATTTCAGAATTTTTTAAAGATGCCATATAAATTTTAAATTGGGTCACAATATGAAAGAGCAATTAAACAATTCATAAAGTAGGAAATATATATTTATATATTATATATATGTGTATATTTCAATTCATTCCAGTAGGCATTTTTTAATTTACTGAGTAAATTTACTTGAGCTTTGGTTTCCTTATCTGTTAAAAGTGAGTTCAGGGCTAGAGATTTAGCTCAGTGGTTCTGCCACCTGCCTCACAAGTGCAAGGCACCAAGTTCAATCCCCAGTACCAAAACAAAACAAAACAGGGCCTGGGACTTTAGCTCCGTGGTAATGCATCTGCCTCGCAAGCACAAGGTCCAAAAACAAATCCCAATGATGAATGTCACTGTACTGTATACCTAAACTTAATAAAAAATGTATTTCTAAACAAACAAACAAACAAAAAAAGTGAGTTCATTCACTTAACTGATTACTGAATGCCTAGTATGTGCTAGAGATTGATTTAGGCCTTGAGAATACAGTGATAAGCAAAAGATCTGGAATTCCTGCCTTTCTGGCTCTTATAGTCTAACAAGGATAAGACCTAGTTCATGGGATTTGGGGGAATATCGGGTGCTTTGCAACTGAAAGTGTTTTGTAACTCACAATGTCCACATACACCAAGGACCCTGAATACAGTGACAGCCTCATGGCTTTTTCTGGCTCCCGAGGCATCCTCCAGCTCCGCAGGTATGGGAAGGTGATTTGAAAGATGCAAATGCATTCAACACTGCTATAACTGATTCAGAGGCCCCCGGTGTTCACAGCCATCTTCCACTGATTTATCTTGTTTGTTCATCCCTGTACAATCATTTGTGGAATAATTTACTTGAAGTAATTTACGAAAATTGATGCTTAATAAAATATACAGAACCCTAAAAGACTAGCTGTAAGAGTTTAATTATAGTAGACAGCACTCACTAAAGTCACAGGCCTGTAATATGTACTGTGTTGTACTTGGCCAAATGCAGAAAATTTTAAATTATCATATATTATCGTTACAGTCTCTCATCAAAAAAACAAAACACTTCATCAGTAGATGTGCTACTTTTAAGATACATAACTACATGATTTTAATGACTTTACGTAATTTTATAACATACCAATATCAATAATATGCTCTAATTAACATCCTTGTAGTTCAATCTTTAAATGTATTATTTCTTCCTTTAAGATCAAATCTTACTGTATCTTTTATTTTTTTCTTCTTCCTTTTTTTTGTCTGTTTGTTTGTTTGTTTTGGTACCAGTGATTGGCTTACTGTATTTTTCTATAAGAACAAAATCTTTATTATAAAATAGTTGGATTTAATAAAATTTGGGTCCATGTGTTTTCAGACTTATTAAAAAATGCTGTAATATTTTTAATATTCCTCAAAATTTAATCAATGTCTTCAAAGTTTACATCCACAAAAAATTAAGAGGAAAAATACTAAAATTTTCACAAAATTGTGTTTTTCTATTTTAAGAACATCACGGGAAGATATACTGAATTAACTGCTTTTCATAACTGCTCTGGTCATGAATATAGGAAAAAGATGAGTGAGTGTTTTAAGAATATTCTCACTGCACCAGTGTTTGAAATTGAAACAAGATTATAGGATTAGTACTTGTGTGACCTATAGAATCTAACTTTAATAAATTACTTCTGTTACCTCGAAGACGATTAAATCTGAGTCTACTCTTTCTGGAACTTCTAGAAGATACAATAATTTGAGGAACAAATACTGCTTCTTCTTAATGGCAACACTTTCTGATCTCCTAGAAGTAAAAGAAATTTTACAAGTATAAAAGGGCATTTTCAATAGAAAAAGAATTTAAGCCATCCTCAAATTATGAATGCTTTACACATGCAACTCCCCAGATAAAAGCAGGTGACAGAAAGCATAGGAATACAGCAAAAAAGCAAACCGAGACCTTGGTTCATACTTCAACTTTAATACTTGAGAAAAACATAAGTTAAAATCGGATACAGATATTGCTGGCACAAGTAAAGATAATACACAAAGGCGGATGGGAGCAGATCCGGTATAAACCTGTGAGACTGCATCACAGCAGCCAGCCACTGAAGGCTTTTAAAGAAGTGACAGATTTTAAAGGAGATCGAGATGAAGAGGATGGAAAAGAAATATTTTTTCTCCTTAAAAACTTCCTCTGATATTAAGAATTGTAGGGCTGGGGATTTAGCTCAGTGGTACTGGGGCCTACTTTGTGAGCGCAAGGTCCCAAGTTTGATCCCTGGTACCACCACCAAAAAAAAAAAAGGAATTGTAAATCAGTATGGAGAGGAAATTTCAAAGTCACTAATTTATCAAGCTATTTTGAAGACAGGAGCCTTAAAGACCTACTTGAAGCCTCAATAGTGCAAAAATAATCAGCATTCCATTTTCCTCAAGTTTTATGTACTAGTAACATTAACAAATTATAAGTAAGAAAAATAAAAACTCAATTTTTAAGAAAGCATGCATTATTTCTTCTTCCAGGTATTTCAGTAATTTAAGTTTAATACTTGTTTTATTAAACATAAAAAAGAGCTTATAAAATCTTGCACTATTAAGAAGTGAAATTCCATTCCAACTTCAACAGTGTAAAATCTATTTTAGAAATTGTGGAAGTGATCAAAAACACCAGCACTTTAGGAAGATTGCAAAATATACTTGAAGAAATTGTCTTTCAGGCAGTGTTTATTCATATAAAACCTTTATAAAGTAAGGTATCAAGGTAAGCTATACATAAATAAACATTCATCCAACATGAATATAACTGGAAAAATTTTTTCTTACCGAAGAATGCATTTATAAGTTGATTTCCAATTTTTCAACTAAACAATTCTTTTATTTAATTCTGGAATTTGTGCTAGGTACCTGTGGGATATTTCTATTTCTCTCAACATGAAAATTAGTGTTCACACATTACAAAACCTATTTGAATCCATAGGCTGGCTACAGTATCATTTTCTTTTCCCTTTTTTTTAAAGTCCTGAAAGTTAATAATATAGAAGTGTGGATCTGAGAATGAACTTCGCAAAGGTAAAATTCTTCCTCCTCAAAAGGTACATTAAAACATTTCTGATTCTAAAATAGTAAGGCTCCTGGTTATCTCTTGGACACTGACTTTACTTCCCAAAGGTGTAAATATTCTTTCAGTGTCTAAAACAATACAGGAACTGAACCATGTCTGATGGCTGTTTTAAGAGCTGCATTAATTACACCAAAAACTAGCCTGACTATACCTTTGCTTCACTGAACATTAGTAACCAGCTTAAGATGCTTACTCTGTACATTTGTGTAAACTGTTATTCTTCTTTAGAAAACATAGCTGAGTTTAAAACAAACACAAATCTCAATATTGAATATAAAACTTGTGAAAAGTGATAACACTGTGAAGTTATTCAAAACACCCATAAACCTCTGGAGATACATTAATAATATTTAAATAGTCCCAGTCCCTTCAATAAATTATGTACAGGTATTGTCCCTCTTGGATGGGTGGGGGTCCACGCAGTCATCACATGACCCGGACGTGTTTTGTTAGAATCCCCCTGCACAGTGAGACAGGTGATACCACCGTCTACCGGCGGGGAAAAGTGAGGCAGCACGACTTTATTAAAGAAAATTAACATAACCAAAAGCATCTAATTAAAACTGGCATTATGTGATTCAAAGAAAAATAATCATAGGATAGAATTTTTATAGAGTATCACCTTAAAACACTTTTACATCTGAATGTTAAAATTGTTAAAACATAATTCTGATGTTAGAGCACATTATTTTAATGTAAAAATTCACATCGGCTTTCATAGAAAATTAATTAAAATATTTTCTCTTGCTAAAAGCTACTAAGTGGGCTTTGCCTGTGACATTGCACAAAATCCATCTAAAAGTATAAGGCGTCTAAAATTTCACAGATAATATGCGAAAATCTTAATTGTTTTTTTACTATATTTCAGCTTATGTGTCAATAAATTAATTTTTTTACCAAAAATCTTGTAACAAAACATTGCCATTATTAATACAAGCCAGGTTAAAAAGTCGCTTCCTCCTGATTTAGAAGGCGTAGACGTTGAAACAGGAACTCTGCCGAACGAGAGTAATCAACGCCACGCAGGTCAGCGGCAGCCCGGGTGCACACAGGGTCGCTGGACCAGGCGGCTCTGATTCAGCGATGAAATCCATTGCCTTCTGTAGGACAAAGGTCAAACCGTTGCCTTTTCACTAAAATGCAGCGAATATTAAGAACAAGTGCATCACCTCCATACTTAATACCGATTCCGAAATACAGCAGTGTAACGAAGATTCCAGTAGTGTTATTTGACTTTTGCCTGAAGCGGGGGGGGGGCAATGACAAACGCGCTGCGGCCTGAAAGTCACCCAAGCACAGTAAGCAACCTGCGGACCGCACAGGCGCCTCCCGCCTCCACCTGGCCGCACCCAGTGACTGCTCCTCATCCAGAGTCAGCAGGCGAAGCTAACGCACGCTGCTCCTTCCCCCGGCTTTGAGAATGGCACACGGAGATTTATTTTCTAGGCTTTTTGCTGCCGGTCATGACGAAATAATGGTCCCCGTCTTCCTTCTGTGCGCTGAGTTTCCTGCCTCCGCTCTCCGCGCCTGTGGCGGGTGGCGGAGGCTTCCTGGGTGCGGCCGCGCCTCTGCCCCCGGCCGGAGGAGGCCCCTTAGCTGAGTGCTGGCCCTTCGCGGCGGCCTGTGCGGACTTCGGTGCGGCCCGGGCTTCGGCAGAAGTCTGGGGGACACTCACGGTGGACAGCGGGGTGCGGCCCGGAGACTGAGAGCCGGGGCCTATCTCCCGGCGTGTGCTTTTTTTCTGGGGCGCTCTTTTGGCACCCGAAGCCGCACTCTTCTCCGGTGCCGGCGCAGCTCCAGCGGGACGGGCTGAGGGTACCGAAACCGGCTGTTTCGTGCTCAGGGCCGAGTTGACTTTCTGTGCCGGGACCGCCCCTGCCTGCCGGGCTCCCCCCGGTGACTGTGTCCCTAGACCCTTGGCTGTGGCTTGGGAGCTGGGTTTTGTCGTTTTTGCAGAGGACTGGAACGGAGACTTGGGCCTTGTGCGGGTGTTCGCTTTAGGTCCCTTCAGGCACTTGGGTGACGAACCTGCAGGTGCATCGCTCCTGCAAGAAACAGGACTGTGTCTCAAGAACACCGGTTCCGGTTTTCCCGAACTTTTACTTGGCGGAGGCCTCGAAGTCTGGGTCAGAGGAGCAGGGGCCCTGGGCGTGCTGGAGGCTGCGCCGCATCGGCCCAGAGGCTCCGAGGGACCAGGGCTGCTTCTCGGGAAAGTGAGCGGGGCGGTGCTTTTGCCGAGGGCGGCGGGCTC